CACTATTTCACTAGGATGGTGGTGAAGCACTGGAATGCGTTACCTAGGGAGGTGGTGGAGTCTCCTTCCTTGGAGGTTTTTAAGGCCAGGCTTGACAAAGCCGTGGCTGGGATGATTTAGTTGGGAATTGGTCCTGCTTTGAGCAGGGGGTTGGACTAGATACCTCCTGGGGTCCCTTCCAACCCTGATATTTTATGATTCTATGATTCTAACAGTCACTGGCTCATTCAACACTGTCCCAGATTTCTGTGGTGTTGAGACCTCCTGTACCTGCAAGACCTATTGAAATATCATTACTACCTAGGCAGTGTCACGAGTTACTCTGGAACTGAAGTCTCCTCTGGTAGACGTCACCTTTTAATTACTGTCTCTGTACCAGGGCCACAGGTACCAGTTTTCAGTTTTCTTTTTTTTTTTTTTTTCTTGTCAGTTTACAGGAAGGTCCATGAGTTCACCTCAGGTGTCGGGATCCCCCAAGTATATCTCCTCTGGAAGTTTTCTTGTCGTCCTCTCTGTCTCCTATTTGCAGTAGAAACCCTTCCCCCAGCCTGGCTCAATTCTCTGTGGGCCAGTCCAGGGATATAGAACAGCATAGGAAGTATTCTTACTATTTTTCATACAGCGGTCATATTCCTCAGCCTCCCCATGCTCCTTGGATGCCTCCTTCTCGGCCTGATGTGTCATGTCTGTATGGATTCCAGACCTGGCTATTTGGCCATATTAGTTTCATTTTCAGGGACAATTTCCATTACCTACTCCAAGGTCCAGAGACAAATCTCCTAAACCTGAGTTGCCAAAGTCTGTCACTCACCTGCAGGGGAAATCATTCAGGAAGAGCAGCAGCAGATGAATGAAGAAGATGATATAGAACCATCAGGAAGACCCATCCGCACCTCCTCTTTTTTCATCATTTTCATCAGATGAGGCTATGACTCCTTCTGTCCCTGCTACCATAGATGACTTTAATGCATTTCAGGAGTTGCTTAAGAGAATGGCTGGAACCTTCTAGGTTCCTCTGGAGATGGCGCAAGAAAAGGCATATAAACTATTTCCTATTGTGCAGCCTACATACCAGAGTATGGCAGTATTGCCAATCCAGGAGGGAATTTTAGATCTGTGGGCTATTACAGCTTCAATCTCTGCCACATCAAAGCATGTGAATTTGAGACATGAAGTTCCATCAAAGGGTTTTGAATTTTTGTTGTTTTTACTTGCTGTCATCCTTAGTAGTAACTGCAGCCAAGGAAAGATCCAAGCAGTCAGTGAAATATAGGCTG